CCCTCCCCTCATCTCCCCCTCCTCATCCACTCACCCTCCCCATGCTCCTCATATTCATCACCCACCACCCTCTCCACCCGTCCCTGCGCCCCCCTGCTGGCTCCCAGGTCTCGGCTTCTCCAACGAGGACATGCTCCGGCCCACCTCCTCCTTCTCCGGTGGCTGGCGCATGCGCATTTCCCTGGCCATGGCCCTGTTCATTTCCCCGGACCTGCTGCTGCTTGATGAGCCGACCAACCACCTGGACCTGCACGCGGTCATCTGGCTGGAGGAGTATCTCCGCAACTGGACCAAGTCCCTGATCATCGTGTCGCACTCGCGCGACTTCCTGGACACCGTGGTCACGGATATCCTGCACTTCCAGAACAAGAAGCTCACCCGCTACCGCGGCAACTACACCACCTTCGAGCACACCCTCGCCATCGAGCAGCAGGTCCAGGAGCGCGAGAATGCCTCCATCGAGATGAAGCGCAAGCACATGCAGTCCTTCGTCGATCGCTTCCGGTACAAGGCCTCGCTGGCCTCCATGGCCCAGTCCCGCCTCAAGGCCCTGGACAAGATGAAGACCGTCAGCGAGCTGTACGCCGACCCGGAGGTTCAGTTCCGCTTCCCGGACCCCCCGCCGGTGGACAGCGCCCAGATCCAGCTCACGGGCGTCACCTTCCACTACCCCGGCACCGATCGCATCCTCTTCTCCGATGTCGACCTCACCATCAGCCCCACCAGCCGCATCGGCCTGGTCGGCCCCAATGGTGCTGGTAAGTCCACCCTCATGAAGATCATCTACGGCGCCCTGGAGCCCACCTCCGGTGTGGCGCTCATCAGCAACAAGGTACGTGCCTGCCTCCCGAGGGGGGAGGGCAGGGGGCTCCTTTTCGCCGTTCCCCTCCCCCGGCTCCCTGCCCGTGCATGCCCCTCATCGCTAATGCCTCGTCTCCTGGGCCCGCGCGCCTGTTCTTCTTCTTTCTTTCTCCTTCCCTCGCCCCTCCCGCCGGCCATAGCTTCGCGTTGCCCGGTTCACCCAGCATCACTCGGATCTGCTCAATCTCCGCCTCTCGCCGCTGGAGCTCTTCCGCCAGGCCTTCCCCTCGGACCCGGTCCAGCAGATCCGCTCGCACCTCGGCTCCTTCGGGATCACCGGCAAGCTGGCCCTCCAGCCCATCAGCTCGGTGCGCGCTCCCCAAGCATGCCCCCTATTTCCCTTCTGCTCCCCTTCTCTCGGCGCCCTTCTCCCGCTAACCCCCCCCC